TTTTTGGTCCCACCTGATTGAGGATGTTATGTTAACGTACTATACAGATCGCGAAGAGTCAACTAGGGAGTCCGACTTCGCCTATGAGGACGAAGGCGAGGAAGATGAAGAGGGCAACGACTGGGATGGTGAGATTGAGTGGGCTGGGGAGGAAGTCGAGGGAGGACCTGAAGGGGATGTTCCCGACGAGAGTGCCGCTTATATCGATTTCTTGAACCAAGAGGTTAGTGGCTCGTCTTCAAAATCCGAAATCATGGCTAACGGATATAATTCAGGCTTCAAAATTCGGATCTTACGGCGATGAAGATGAAGAGGAGCTTGACGAAGAGAGCCTCCTCGAGACACCTTTGGACAAGGTTGAACCTTACAGCTTATTCAAGAATGTCTTGCTTGGTATGTACAACATGTTATACACTTATGTAAAGCGCAACCCTTGCTAATCACGTCGGCAGGTCTCCAACAAGAGCAGCCTCAGCTTTATGAGAATCTGACAAAGATTCTGAATGTGGAAGAGCAGCAGGTACTCCAGGCTGTCTTCCATGAGGCAGACGCGAAGGCCATGGAAGCCGCTAATGCCCAAGCTGCTGCGGCTGCTGCAGGCATGACGACTAACGGCCAATAGTTATAGAGACAAAAAAAAAAAAGAGGAAAAAAAAAAAAAAAGAAAAAAGCGGGGTACTGTCAGCCAGCTCACTGAGGCGCTTCGGTTGACGGTACCAGCTGAATGACATAACATAAAAAGACATGCCAATTGAAATGTCATCCTATGCTCAATCTTGGACATATTTCTTTGGGCATGGGAAACAAAAAAACACCGACCGATATCCAGCAGTCCTGCTTGTCTCGATTGATTCCAACGGACGGCTGGATTCGGCCATAACGCGATATATGCCCATACTCCTTATTCAATGTCATCTAGATTTTGTCCCCCTTTTTGGTTTACCATTTTCTTTGCCTCCTTATCATCTTGCCATCTATATTTCCCCCCCCCCTTTTTCTTTTCCAAAAGTCGATGTTCATGAATCTTTTTTTCATCCAGTTTCAACTTTTGCACCGCACAGATTCCCCTGCCATTAATCATGTCATTGGACATGAGTCTTATGTATGTTGTGTCATGTCATGATTTCAAAATCAACTTTTTGACCACTTAGATCTGGATAAAAGAGTACTTGTAAAGACAAACGCAATAAACAGATGACAATTGCATTATAAGATTATTTCTTAAAGATGCGATTCTTTGTTGACCACTCTGTACAATCCATAGCATTCTTTGATACAGTGCGCTCACTAGTACGGAGTAGTAGGTCAAGGCCAAAAATACAACATCCTCAATCCGGTAAATAACCGCCACCTCACCAGCCACAGCTCCAAGGTGGAACCTCTCAACGTCATGATGATGGCGGACTGAATGGAATACCCGGTTTGGCCGTGATGTTCTCATCTTCTAAATGTTATTTAAAATCCTCTCTCTCATTTTTATTCCTCAATCAAATACAACTTTACCTCTGCTATATCGTGTGTTATACTAGAAAGCCAAGCTCAAGGTACAATGGATTCCGCTAAACCCTATCTCTACCTACTGAAACTAACAAATCTACCAGACATCCGAACTACTTCCTACGTCAAATCTATATCTATCCCACTCAATAAAAACGAAAATGTCCGCTCCTAACCCCGGCCGCCAATCCCCCGAACCCGAGCGCCAGAGCGGTGCCCAGCAACGGGACCCCGTCTCGGCAGGGAAGACCCTCCCTGAATTCCGTGGCGAGCCTCGTCACTCGCAGGCCGAGTCTGAGGAGACCAAGAACACGAAGCTTGAGAGCAACCCCGTACACCGGTTGGAAGAAATCGAGGCGAAGAAGTATCAGAAATAACGTCTGGCATATAATGGTGTTTGGTTTGGGTTTATGATGTCTTTCTATTTCATGGTCATGTATGAATTGTTTGGAGTTTGGTAGTGGTGTATCAACATTTAATTGAAGTTATACACTTGAGCAGAAGGGATGCTCGTACAGAAGCAAGTCGTCTCATGAATAGAAAACATATGCTGCGTATCATGAAGAAGCAACTATACACAAAGAATCATAATTATCCCGGTCCATCTAAGACTTCTCTGGAGGCGCGGCAGCATAGGCCGGCGGCTGAGCAGGAGCCGCCGTTCCAGGAGCAACATTAGCACCCGATGCAGTAGCAGGAACACCCTCCAACTCAGCCTCTCCCTTGCCATTCTTCAAGTCTGCAAGTCTCCGAGCCTCGTTGTGCACCTCCCGCACTTGCTTGTCAGTCTGCAGATAGAAGTCCCGCAGCTTGCGGCCGGACGGAGTGCCCATAGCCTTCTCGAAGTACGAGTTCAGTCCACGCCATCCAGTGGAGGCCTTGTCGCTGAGCTTGTAATTCTGGTCCAAGCCACGAGCACGGTCAGTGGCCTGGTACTTCTGGTCGAAGTTGCCGAGCACCGACGTGAAGCGCGAGGAGAATCCATGTTTCGAATCAAGAGCGATGGCCTTCTGGATCGCGTTGTCGCTCAGTGAATAGCCATGAGCAAGGTATTCGGCGACAATGCGGGAACGGGGTTTGTCTTCTTGTTCGAGGTCGTGGTGGTTCTCATCCTTGGCCTCTGTTGCCTGGGCAGTTTGGCCACCGGCGATGTCCTCGAAGGTCTGAGCGGCCTGGACGTGGACGGAAGATGCGCCCAATTGGGTCTGGTCGAGGAGGAGAGCGGTTTTAGCAGCACTATTATTCATTGTTAGTTTATGTTTCAGATTGATCAGGCGTGATGGGTGCGGGGTATGGTGACAACTCACGCTTCCTTTTCGAAAGTCACAGATGCAGACTTGGCGGCGTTGGCATCGCCAGAGACAGGGGTCAGAGAAAGGGCAGTGATCTTCCCACTGTGAAAAAGAATTTTGTTAGCAAATTATTCACGAATAAGGGATTTAGTGATCATACCAGAAGCTGAAGAAGTCCTGGACCTCCTTTTCAGTGGTACCGGCCGAGATGCCCGAGACGTGAACAGTAGAGCGCTCAGACATGATGGATATGAGTTGAATTCAGGGGATATCGTGTAGATAATTAAAGAAAAGGTGTCGAGAAGGGTATCAAAGTGGATGATGGAAAGAGAAAGGATCAGGGTTAGATGGCTTTTATTTACCGTAATTGTTCCGCCTGGCCATAGCTGCGCCACAAATGACGTACTGAGGGGCATCATGCACCGCCATAGTGGGTATTAAGCATGTGAATAAGGCTTGAATTCAAGTTAAATTGTTCGCAGACCATGGTTGTTGATTCTCGCTATTGTGTATGTATAACCCAAACCCCGCTAAGTTAATGAGATAAAAATAAACAGAAGGCAAAAGATGACACTACGTCAATCACTGCCTGCAGTGGGACATCTGTCAACCCGTCTTTGGAGACGTCGGTCCACCTCCCTGAGATTTTCTGAGAGCCAGCTCCAGATCTCGCACCCGTTGACGCAATGCCTCATTTTCACGCTTAACTGATTCAAACTCTCCACTATACTGAACAGTCTCTTCTAATCGGGACATGGCAGTCGGTGAAGTAACATGAGGGTGGGAGACTGACCCCCGGCGCGGGAAATGGTCGCCCTGCTGCAGTGATGATGACAATGACGGTGACGCCGATCCAGAGGCTTGAACAGAGTTGAACGATTGCTGTCGACTCCGACCTGGTCGCGAAAATGACAGACCATTCTCGCGTGCGGCGCTAATGCCAATGTTTCCGGCTCTTGATTCTTGGACGGCTGGAATGTAAGAGGAACTCAGACTGGACGAAGACCGGTGTCGTGCACCAAGGTAAGGTGACGAATGAAGGGTGTCAATCGAGTCGTTGAATGTTGTCGAGGTAGATGATGTTGTCGATGCCACAGAGGCTGTTTGCTGGCGAAGAAGGGAAAGCTCTCTTGATAGACGGTTCACCTATTGGAGACATTGCGTTAGCTTCATGGATGTTACGTTATTTCACAGGCTTCTAATACATACCATTGCTTCCTGTTCCTTCTCAACCATGGAGTGAAGGTCGGATGGTGTGAAGGGCTTTGGGTGACGCAGCGGACCTGAGGCAACTGTTAATCGACTGAGCTCTTTCTTTTCTTTGTTCTCTGGTGACAAGGAGAGGTTGTGTACCTGATGCTGTCCCTAAGCCACTATGATCACCGACTGGACTTTGGCTGAGAGAGATGACAGAATGGCCCAATGGAGTGGTTGGATGCATAGTTGTCGCAGCACGAGGCCGTCTTGGGCAGGGCGTAAGAGAGGGATTCGATTCCGGAGCCATTATCATTGAATGAAACAGTGAAAGATGATAATATAAGAGAAAAGTGTGGTGGAAAGAAGATGTTGGAGGTTAAAGACTGGTGGGTGTAGTAGGCAGAGGACCAGGTGATCAAACCGATGACTGGATAACTACTCTGCCTATTCAGGCAACGAGCTTCAATTTAAAAGTGAACAATATTTCGTCAGGCACAGGAATCAAAACAAACCCCTTGAGCAAGAATGCAGGGAGTTTCAAAGATAACAAACATGGACAAGAGTAATGCTAGGAAATATAAATGTCAACAACGGTCACTCATAGTTGCCATGGGACTTGCGTAACGAAGTATATTTCTTGTCATCCCAGTGCTTTAATGCAGATGGGATTGCGATGGTGTTTGTACGATAAAATCAGAAAAGAAGAATCCAAGGCTGAGCTGTCAAAATGATGGATTCATGGGATGTTACTATATCCATGCCAATAACAGCGCTAGCGTAATGTATGCCTTAGGCGCAAAGGCACATAGGTAGTCCGGAGGTAACCGTTGCACCTTAGGCTTTTGGAGCGAGGCACAATTGACGGCTAAGATTCATTATCGCTGAGATGTTTTGTATCAAAATGAAGAAGGAACATGTCCCTTGCTTAAGAACCGAACACTACTAGTCTCAAAGTCGTTCATTTGATGATGCGCTGCCACACAGAGCCGTTCAGTCACGTGCTCGCGAACACAGGGTGAAGTCATTCCAGACGGAGAAATCCGTAAACAGTCGTTACTAGCATCCGAGCTAACATCGCTGGTTTTGTTTATGACTTGACAAATTCCCGCATTCCACTGTCTCAGGTTCATGTGGATCAGGCCCTGATGTCAATAATCTCATTCTCCAAACAAATTTCCCGAGAACTCCTTCCCCATGGCTAGCGAACCTCCTACGACTGACTCTGCGACAACTAGCCACATTCCTTCTTTTGCGAGACAATTACTCCCTTACATTAAGAGCCGTCAAGAAGCTCTGCGTATCCGACAAGTCCTGACCTCTTACCTCCGCTCGCAAATTACATTCGTCGAAGAAGATCCCGAACGACCAAATCCTCATGCGGAATCCCACCTCGTTCTTTGTGCCCCTCACGATGCCGTTGTTGACGTGAAACGGGCTCCACCAGAGCTGACTGGATTGAGGAAGGAATACCTGGAGGCGCTCCGGGCGAACGTGGCTGCAAAGCAGGAAAACCAATCTGTTTCCGAGAATCTGGCCGCGAAAATGCAGCAGAGGAGAAAAGACACAGCAGAGACAACGACAACATCGACTCCCAACTCCGAACTACAGACGTATCTTGTACTCCTTCGAGACCGTCGCCGAAATGCAAAACTCGAAGTTTTTCAGCACCATTTGCAAGAATTGAAGGGGCGACAGACGGTTGAACTAGAACAATTTGACAAAACCGAGGATCAAAATCAACATCTCCTACGGATTGGTAGATACGAGGATGGGAGACAGGGAGATCCCGGAAAAGAGGGTGTCGAAGGGCTAGTTCACAAACTCGAGAGGGCAGTCATCCGCGCAAGAGCACAATTGGAGAGGGAGAAGAAGCTATTTGAGGAGCTCAAGGCACAGCATGCTGCTAGGGCAAACACCGGCAATGAGGATATTTCATCGGCAAGCAAAATCCAGGCTTTACAATGGACACGAGATGCACTGGTGCAATGGGTTGAAGAGAAATTGATGAGTGTTGGCGCCAATGATGAGGGTCCGATAGAGGAGCTCTCTCCCGAGGAAATTGAAGATGCGGCCAACTTACTTGATGAGCGTAGGACTCAAATCATGCAGCAATATACGACTTATGTAGAGACTCGTCGAGCTCTTCTGGAAACCGCTGCCAAATCTTGCCAGCCTGTCGCTCCAGGCCCTGCCAAACCCCGAGAACCGTCTGACGACAACGACAAGCATATAGCCGAGGAGCCTCTACCCCTCGAACCTATGGATGCCATGGCTTTTGCAAGTGAACGTCTACTTCCGCTCTCCAAATCCCAACGAGGATTGTCTCTACAAAAGTCCTATCTGTCGGGCATGCTTCTCAAAGAGAAATCTACCACCCTTCGCGCTCTCAATCGCCTCGCTGATGAGAGCCATCTTCTTCCTGAATACCCTCTTCTCTCTCGGCAACCCCGTTTCAAGCACGCCACATCAGGTGCCACATCAGGTTCCCGAAGTTCCCTGTCTCCTCGGGAACTCGCTTCCCCAGACGAGATTACTTCATTGGCGGAAGCATGGGCATTTGCTTCCGGAGCTGCGCGAGAGCATGAGCAGGAGTACGTGGCGCAAAAGATTGTGGAAGGCGGAGAAACGGCGCACGAGGCACTGCAGACGTTGGAGGAGATCTGCGACACGTTGGGCCAAGACTTACAGGATGTTTTCGAAGATGCACAGGAGTCCAGTGCTGACGTTCAATCGCGGTCGAAATCGAGCGCCATTGAGAAACAGGCCGGACCTTGGAGTGGGCTGAATGGTCAAGTGGGAGTTGCAAAATAGGCCAATGCAACGTCTTTTCTTGTCTGTGACATTCAACAACGGTCTTGCTACACAATCTTACATGATTGACGTTGTTCTTGATCATTGTTTTTGTATTTAAAGATCTTGTTGCAAATAGAGTTGCGACATCAACACTGAGCGATTGGCCGTGGGCAACCGAGCGCCTATCAGATTGTGGAGACTCTCCGGTGTCGCAGCTTCCGTACCGTATGATACCGTAAGTACATTACAGAGAACTATGGAGTATTCACGGGACCTTCCAGGGACGGGTGTCTACAGAACATTTCCCGGGGACTTTTTTGTCTTCCAAGCTCTGGGCATTTGGACAGTCCATTTCCCAAGTCTCACCCCGCTGTCGCATTCAAGCAATGGTATCAGCTGATCCAGGAAAATCATGTGGCTGAAAGGCGCAGGGGGGAAAGAAGAAAAATAACTCAACAAAGGTTGTTATCATTTGCCCAATTGAGCGATGATTGACTGACTGGAGAATTAGGGTGAGACTCTAAGCCAATCATTATTGATTCTGATCGCAGACTATCAGAACCGGCAGAGATAAGGTCAGGATATCATTGGTGGGAGGATTAGGCGGTAGGAAACCCCTCCGTGCACCGGAGCTCCCACTATTTTTCCTGCCGTATTCCAGTGTACCTGTGTATCAGAATACCATGCTGATACATATCAGTACAGATCCATACCGGCCTCAGTCCCGGGCATTGACTCATACAGGTCGCTATATTTTTTCTATTTCTCTATTTTCTCTTCTTCTCTTCTTCTCTTCTTCTGTCTCTCTATATTTTCTCCCCCTTCTTCTCAATTCTTCCAGGTAACCTTTTTTTTTTTTTTTTTTTTAATTCCTCCATCCTTCCCCGGATTTTTCTTGGGTGTGTAACAACGGAGCGGAAACATTAGGGAATCAAAGATCTTCCGAGAAAAATTTCAGGTCACCTGACTGGCGGGAAAAAAAGATCCCCAAAAAATCACCACCCACCCACCACTGCGATATCACGCCTTTTTTTGCCTGTCATTATATATCAGGGAGGGCAGAGACAAAAGAGTCACCGTCTCAATTAATTGACTCGAGTCGTCGTCCTTCTATCCCTTCCTTTTCTTTCTTATTCTCTGCCTTTTGACTGGCAGCGCAGTGCGCAATGGTTCTTGCTGCTCGTTGTGGGCAGGCTTCGTCCGCCCTCCTGCGTCAACGATGTTTTGCTGAAACCCGTCCATCCGCTCGCGCATTGCGCGCCTTCACCTCTCAGACCCCTACGGTTCGTTCGACAGCATCGACTTTGCGTTCGCAACAGAAGACTGCTTCGCTGCGGTCCCAGCAGCTGAGGAACTTCTCGAGTACCCTCCGCCGGTTGGCCTCGGAGACCTCAAACCCTCCCTCCGCCGCCTCTTACCTCAATAGTGGGGCTGTGAAACCCGGTAGCAATTTGGTCGACGTTAAGAAAGTCTTGGTTATTGGTAGTGGTGGTATCAGTATTGGACAGGCCGGAGAATTCGACTATTCCGGTAAGTCCATTCTGACATGTCTTGTGGAGCTGGTGGGGGAGGATTGGTACAATATCTGGAGGAAAGCAGGGATGGTAAGACTGAGAGAAAGAATCTATGGCTAACTTGGATGTCCCACGAAAAATAGGTTCTCAGGCTCTGAAGGCTCTCAAGGAAGCCGGCATCCAGTCTGTCCTTATCAATCCCAACATCGCTACCATTCAGACCGACCACAAGCTCGCAGACGAAGTCTACTACCTTCCCGTCACTCCGGAATATGTCACCCACGTCATTGAGAGGGAGCAGCCGGATGGTATCATGCTTGCCTTCGGTGGTCAGACTGCTCTGAACTTGGGTGTGCAGATGAACCGCATGGGTACCTTTGACCGCTATGGTGTCAAAGTTCTGGGAACCAGCATCCAGACCCTCGAGACCAGTGAAGATCGTGACCTTTTCTCCCAGGCCTTGAAGGAGATTGACATCCCCATCGCCGAGTCCATCGCTGTGAGCACCGTCGATGAGGCCTTGGAAGCCGCTGAATCCGTTGGATACCCCATCATTGTCCGTTCGGCCTATGCTCTGGGTGGTCTGGGTTCCGGTTTCGCCAACAATCCGGAAGAGCTTAGGGACTTGTCTTCCCGCTCCTTGACCCTTGCCCCGCAGATTCTGGTTGAAAAGTCGCTCAAGGGCTGGAAGGAAGTTGAATATGAAGTTGTCCGGGATGCGTCCAACAACTGTATTACTGTCTGCAACATGGAGAACTTCGACCCCCTTGGTATTCACACTGGTGACAGTATCGTCGTCGCCCCTAGTCAGACCCTCTCGGATGAGGAGTACCACATGCTCCGTACTGCCGCCATCAAAATTATCCGTCACTTGGGTGTCGTTGGTGAATGTAACGTTCAGTATGCTCTGCAGCCCGATGGTCTTGACTACCGTGTTATTGAAGTCAACGCCCGTCTGTCTCGTTCGTCTGCTCTGGCCTCCAAGGCTACCGGTTACCCTCTGGCTTACACTGCTGCCAAGATTGGTTTGGGCCACACCCTTCCTGAGCTCCCTAACGCTGTTACCAAGACCACCACTGCCAACTTTGAGCCCAGTTTGGACTACATCGTCACCAAGATCCCTCGTTGGGACTTGAGCAAATTCCAGCACGTCAACCGTGACATTGGAAGTGCCATGAAGTCTGTCGGTGAAGTTATGGCAATTGGCCGTACCTTCGAGGAGTCTATTCAGAAGGCCATCCGCCAGGTCGACCCCAGATATCTTGGCTTCCAGGGCGACACGTTCGAGAACTTGGATGAAGTCTTGAAGAACCCCACTGACCGCCGCTGGTTGGCCGTTGGTCAGGCCATGCTTCATGAGAACTACTCGGTTGAGAAGGTCCACGAGTTGACCAAGATCGACAAGTGGTTCTTGTACAAGCTCCAGAACATCGTCGACTGCCAGAACGAGCTCAAGGAAATCGGTAGTCTCTTTGGCATCCAGGAGGAGATGATGCTTCGCACCAAGAAGCTTGGTTTCTCTGACAAGCAGATTGCTCTCCTTGTCGGATCTACCGAGGATGAGGTCCGCGCCCGCAGGACGGGATTCGGTATCAGACCCTGGGTGAAGCGTATCGACACCCTGGCTGCTGAGTTCCCTGCTAACACCAACTACCTCTACACCACCTATAACGCTAGCTCTCACGATGTATCCTTCGATGACCACGGCACTCTCATTCTCGGAAGCGGTGTTTACCGTATTGGAAGTTCCGTTGAGTTCGACTGGTGTGCCGTCAACGCAACCCTCTCCCTGCGGGAGATGGGCAAGAAGACCGTTATGATCAACTACAACCCTGAGACCTACTCCACCGACTTTGACACCGCTGACAGACTCTACTTCGAGGAACTCAGCTACGAGCGTGTCATGGATATCTACGAGCTCGAGAGTGCTAGTGGTGTCGTAGTCTCTGTCGGTGGTCAGCTGCCTCAAAACATTGCCCTTCGTCTGCAGGAGACTGGTGGCGCTCACGTTCTCGGTACCAACCCTCAAGACATTGACCGTGCTGAGGACCGTCACAAGTTCTCTCAGACCCTGGACAGCATTGGTGTCGACCAGCCTGCCTGGAAGGAACTCACTTCCGTCGCTGAGGCCGAGAAGTTCGCTGAGGCCGTGGGATACCCTGTCTTGGTCCGCCCCAGTTACGTCCTGTCTGGTGCTGCCATGAACGTCATTTACAACGCTGGTGAGCTCAAAGAGAAGCTCCTGAACGCCAGTGCCGTCTCCCCTGACCACCCTGTTGTTATTACTAAGTTCATTGAGGGTGCCCAGGAGATTGACGTTGATGCTGTTGCCTCGGGTGGTAAACTCTTGGTGCACGCTGTCAGTGAGCACGTTGAGCCGGCTGGTGTCCACTCTGGTGACGCCACCCTGGTCCTTCCCCCCACTGACCTTGAGGAGTCGGTCATGGAACGCGTCAAGGTAATTGCTCAGAAGGTTGCCGAAGCCTGGAACATCACCGGTCCTTTCAACATGCAGATCATCAAGGCCGACCAGGAGGGTGCTGAGTCCCAGCTGAAGGTCATTGAGTGCAACCTCCGTGCTTCCCGTTCCTTCCCCTTTGTTAGCAAGGTCTTGGGCACCAACTTCATTGATGTTGCTACCAAGGCGCTTGTTGGCCGTGACATCCCTGAACCCGTCGACCTCATGAAGACCAAGCGTGATTATCTTGCCACCAAGGTGCCCCAGTTCAGTTGGACCCGCCTGGCTGGTGCCGACCCCTTCCTCGGTGTCGAGATGTCCAGCACTGGTGAGATGGCTTGCTTCGGTAAGGACCTGGTTGACGCCTACTGGGCCTCGATGCAATCTATGATGAACTTCCGCATGCCTGAGCCCGGCGAGGGTCTGCTTTTCGGTGGTGACATCAACAGCCCCATCCTTTCCCAGATCGTGGACCTTGTCAACCCTCTCGGTTACAAGCTCTACGCCGCCAGCGCCGAAGTCAAGGACTACCTCGAGTCCGCCACCAAGGGTGACGTTTCGGTGCAAGTGATTGAGTTCCCCAAGAGTGACAAGCGTGCTCTCCGTGACGTCTTCGAGAAGTACGAGATCCGTGGTGCTTTCAACCTTGCCAAGACCCGTGGTAAGACTCAGCTCGACGAGGACTATGTCATGAGACGGAATGCCGTCGACTTCGGTGTCCCTCTTTTCATGGAGCCTAAGGTATGTAACTGCTTTGCTTCGATTTCTAGCCGCATTTATTAACCTCACTTTCTAGACTGCTCTCCTCTTTGCCACTGCCATGAACGCCAAACTGCCCCGTGCTGAGGGTATTCCCTCTGAGGTCCGCAGCTGGTCCGAGTTCGTCGGCACTAAGGTCCTGTAAAAGCACCAACGGTCCATGAAACCGATAAAGCAAAAAAAAAAAAAAAAGGAAAATTTATATTTTATTTGATCTAATTTTTCTCATACGATTTTTGTCTGACGGTCGAAAAAAGTCGCCCTTGTTCGGCGTAACGGATAAGGATTCATGTCTATAGATTATTATACGTTTCTTTTTGGGGATCATGGCATTCAAGTGCTGCTTGACTGCAAAAAAAAAAAGGCTTTGCTTTCTGTTTTTATACTCTAGTAAGATGATGTTACGTGTTTGAGCGAGAAAAGAGTTTCCTTTCAGCTTCGTGTATTTTTTGCATGTTTTTTGTCGATATATCCAGATCCAATCACAACTATCATTTTGATATTAGCTATATCCTATCCGTATTGTTTAAAATCCTTTATCATGCCACCATTCTTTACCTATCACATAGATTCAATAAACTCCATGTCTACTGAGAGCCTTTCGATTCATGGAGTAATATAGCGTTTTGAGATAGAAGAGGAACCTAGGGTAGTCAGATTGATTGAAGAGAAGCATTGTTTTGTCCTTTATTCGTTCTTTCTGATTATTCTTTTCCGAAACTCCTTTTCTCTGCCACTTGGCCTCCCGAAGCCAATCGAATATCGAATTCTGGTAGAATTCGGCCCCGACGTGAATAAATCTTGAGCTTTAGATACATAGCTCATCGCACCGTACCGAGTATGGCGGATCAAGCGCCTAGAAGAAGGGAAGAGCTCGTTGCCAGGAGTCTCAGAAGTATAATTAGCATCTGAAGGAAGAGATAGAAGACAGATCGGCCATGTATAGTTTTCACTGTTCCTTTCTGCATTTCATCATAACTCGTTAGCCAATGATTCTTGACACCCCGCATTATCACGTGAGATTAATGCAGTGAGGTCTGTAACAGGCTGCGGTGAAAAAGGAGGACGGTAGGTGTGACTCAAGCCAGATCGTCAGGTCTTCCACCCTATTTATAAGACCTGAGTCGTAGCCTTGCCCTTGGTGCCCTTTGCTTTTTTGTTAAGGCCAACAATTCATTTCACTTATTTAGTAAAATTTGCCCTAGCTAGTATTACCAAGCTCTAGCACCCGCAGAATCTGATTTGTCAGAGCGTATTTCCTTTCCTTTTAGGGTAGTCTCCACGAGCCAGCCAGCCATTCTACAACACGACACGGATATAACTAACTAACTTAGTATATTAATTGGATGACTCAACAAATGGCGATCGCGCTGAAAGCCGAACCATCATCTTCCTCCGAACGGTGGTTTTCCCCAGGAAAACACAACAATCCGAAGTCAACAAGGCGCACAGGGAATAAGACCGGGACAGTGATAAGCGGCGGCCATTTCCAGTGCCATCATGATGTACAGACAGCAGCTCGACTAGATACGCGCCTTCGTTCATTTTTCCTTCTCAGGACGATACGACGACCCAATGAATTGCCAGGTGTTGGTTGGAAAGGCCGAGGCCGCTTAAGCCATTCCATGTC